CGGTTCCGACCCATAGCGACCCTGTACAGGGTTTCCGAGGGTGTAAATCTTTACGGGAGTAGAAAGCCTCATCTTTCTCCTGCGGAACGGCTGGTAGTTTCGAACCGCTGACCTTAAGGTTCGCAGTTGATGTACTAGGCAAACCATATTGCTGAAATGCTTATGTGGTTTCTATTTTTAAATTTTTTTTTCCATCAGCAAATGACCTTTGAAGCTACTCTTTTGAGATTGATGGCTTACAAGAATTTCTGCAGAAAACAGAGTATAATGTTTTACCTAACTTCAACTCTAATCACTATTTTAGAAAGATTTTTGTATACAGTTCTGCTTAAGTGAGAAGGAGTCAAATACTTTTCATGTCATTTTACCAAGTTCTATTTTGATCTTAAATCTCCAAGCTTTTTATCAGAATAAAACTCAGTTCTAGATGGAGAGGGATGAGTATAATTTGCTACATTCGTTTTCATTTGCTATCTTCAGAAAGTAAAGGTTTCAGCTATCTTAGTTCCAGTTTAATTTATCATTAAAGTTTTGATAATTTCAAAACAGTTTAGAAATCTTATCATTATGACAAGCTTTTTTTGTTTTGTTTTGAGGAGTGAGGGTTGTCCAAAAATACAAGTACAATTTAAAAAAAAAAAATTGGTGGTTAAGTTTATAGTGCTGCTGCATCATATTGGCGTTTAATGCCATACATATTTGGCAGAAATTGGTTAGGGAAAAATTCCAGTCAACTCATGATTCTCAGTCTGGCTTTAGTTTTTGTCCCCCAAGGGGCTTTTAGCAATGTAGCGTAGTGGTTACAAATCGGGCTGCGAACCTTAAGGTCAGCAGTTTGAGACTACCAGCTGCTCTGTGGGAGAAAGATGAGGCTTTCTGCTCCTGTAAGGATTTACAGCCTCGGAAACCCTGTACAGGGTTGCTATGAGTCAGAACCGACTCAATGGCACTTAACAACAGAGTTTTTTTGGAGTTCTGGTGTGGCACAGTGGGTTAATGTGCTAGACTTAGACTGCAAAATTGTTTGAGCCGCAAGTTCGATGGTTCAAGCTCACCATCCAGCTCTCAGAAACTTGTTACAGGGTTGCCATGGGTCAGAACCTACTCCACAGTACTTAACCACCATAACAACAGAGTTGTTTTTTGGTTGTCTAAGGAGCTCTTGTAGTGTAGTGGTTACGAATCGGGCTGCGAACCGCAAGGTCAGCAGTTCAAAACTACCAGCTGTTCCGCGGGAGAAAAATGAGGCTTTCTGCTCCTGTAAAGATTTACAGTCTTGGAAACCCTGTACAGGGTCGCTATGAGTCAGAACCAACTCCACGGCACATAACAACAACAGGGTATGTCACTGTCATCTAGTAAGTAGAGACACCGGGAGTGCTACTAGATATCCTACAGTGTCCAAGACAAACCCCGCAACAGAATTACTTAGCCAAAACTGTCAGTAGTGCTGACATTGAGAAACTAAAATAGATCCACTAACAAACACATGCTTTCCCATCATCTCTCCATATGGGCATAAGATGGAAGAAGAGTGAGTCAGGAAGGAAAAAACTGAGCAAGGTAGCATATATTGAGCACTTACTGGCAGCAAATGTAATGGGATTTTTAGAAAGAAACAGTCATTAAGGATTTGGGGACTAAAGACCTTAGGTTTAGATTGTTCTCAATTATTCACAAAATATAAATATTGTGGAAGCGCACCCTAATGTGATTATGTTTGACCAACAATCATTAGTGTCATGAATGGAGATTTTTATACTATTTCACAAATATGCTTTAGAAACTTAACATTGAAATTCCTTTGTTCTCCACACAGTCTCACACCATTTTGCTAGTACAGCCTACCAAGAGGCCAGAAGGAAGAACTTATGCTGACTATGAATCTGTGAATGAATGCATGGAAGGTAAGTTTAATACTAATCAAAGATTAGAACTCTGAGTTACTTGTTTTCCTGACATCCATTGTTAGAATGTATTTCATCCAGGAATTGGATTTTTTTTTTCCCTCCAGATTTTATGAATTATTAATTTGAACAGGAGGTGGGTATATAGCAATATATTTACTTAATATTTGAAACATAAAATATACATACCGTTTTTTTCCTGAAAATATTACTTTGCACTTCATAGAGTATAATGAATGACTTTGGAAAGCCTGGCATTGTTTGTGCTCTAAAACTATGTTACAAGTATCCTTTTTATGGCCTGGTTAAACTCAAGCACTGTTGAGTTGTTACAGCAAACTCCAGAATACCTTCTGAACATACTTATTTAACAGATGATAGAAACTGTTGAGGTTTAGTTACAGCCCATCAGAATGTTAGAAAATAAAAATTAACTTGATGAATAAAGGTAAATGGAACCAGATCACTATAATCTTTTTATGCATTTAAAAAATATAAAAAACTTGAAGGAACCTACTAGATCCTAATGTGTTTTTTTCCTCAGTAAACAGACCAGAATACATAGATTGGACCTTTACGAATTGGGTTCATCTTTATGCCTAATCATACTAAGTAAATCAGTTGTGCATCTAACACCTTGCTACCACATTGTCTATTATTCGCTTCTCCCTGTAAAAATCTTCTATCACTTTATTATTACTGCAAGATATGTGCCTAAATCTGCTGACGACTGTATTTTCATATGTAAAATGCATGTTTGTTTTTAACTTGAAAATATAATGTAGGTTTACAGAGCAGATCATCAGTTTTACATTCAACAAATCACCCACTTCCTCCCTGTTTCTTGTTTCCTTTCACCTTCTTTCCGCATCCTTCTTAATTTTGTCCTTCGGTAAATGTTGGCCTTTTCCTCTTGAATGGTTGAGCATTCTTTGTGTATACCTCACTAATGTTATTGTATGTCATTGCCCATCCCCACCCCTACCCCATACACCTATCTGGACTCCTGTTGTGGCGCTGTAGGATCAGCATTGGACTATCAACCACAAGGTTGGTGATTCAAACCTACAGACCGCTCAACAGAAACCCTATACAGGATCATTGTGAGTCTGACACTTACCAACAACATAAGCACTGGACTGCTAAACACAAGGTTAATGGTACAAACCTACCCTGGAAACTATACAGGGTCACTATGAGTCTGAACCAACTTAGTGGCACTTAATAACAATGTAAGCACTGGACTGCTAACCACTAGGTTGGTGGTTCAAACCCACCAGTTGCTCCTTGGAAACCCTATGAGTCAGAATTAACTCGATGGCATGTAACAATAACAATAACTATCGCTTAACTGAAATTGAGCCACGGGGGTGAGTTAATGCATGTATTTTTACACAAAATAACAATGCATTATGCTCTTTTTTTTATTTCCTCCAAACTAACTACACCTATATGTGTATTTGCATTATGTGCAGAAATATGGTATTTAAAACTAGATGGGTTAAAAATTAATTTGCTAAGTGTTGTGGAGTAGGTTCCTACTCATAGCACTCCTGTATAGGGTTTCTAAGGAGCAGTTGGTGGATTTGAATTGACGTTGTTCAGAAAACCTAATACTGGCAAGGGTGTGCAGGACTGGGACCCTCTACTACTGGTGAGATTATAAAATGTGGAAAACAGTAGTGGGAACAGAAATATTGTATAGCCCAGCAACCCTACTATTTGGTATATAGCCTCAAGAAATAAGAGCTGTGACAAGAATAGATATATGCACACCCATGTTCACAATAACAAAAGGTGGGGATAGTCTAAATGTCCATCAGTAGCAGAACAAATAGGCAAACATTGGTACATACACACAGAAATGGCATACAGCGTTGCATAACGATGAATCTGCAAAACATCCCATAACATGGATGGACCTAGAGGACGTTATGCTAAGTGAAATTAATTGACCAAAAAAAAAAAGACAAATATTATATGAAACACTATTGTAGAAAGTCAAGAAAAGGTTTCCATGCTAAGACAGTTCTTTGATGTTTACTGATAGAAGGAGGGAAGGGAGAGCAATTCGCTGCCCTACAGAGTAGATATGTTATCTTGTTGAAAGTTGGCAGAAGAATGATATAGGCAGGAGTTGAAAAGAGAAGAGGTAAATACTGCAATAACAGTAATGTACAAGTAGGTGCATGGCTAGTACACCGGCTGAAGGGATAGATACAGGTGTGACAAAATACATGGGTATTTATCTTTGCTGCAAACAGATCCTTAAATGTGGTGGATCATGTTATTAAGTGCATTCGAGTCAGTTCTGACTCATAGTGATCCTGTGTAAGATTTCTGAGGAATGGCTGGTGGGTTTCAATTGCTGACCTTGTGGTTAGCAGTCCAGTGCTTATCCTACAGAACTACACTGGGACACTACTGTGGTAGAGCATGTTGTTAAGTACCTTTGAGTTGATTCTGTCTCATAGTGACCTCGTAGAGTTTCCAAGAGTGGCTGGTGAATTGAAAGCGCCTACCTTGTTCAACACAGCCTTGAGGTCCAGTGCTTTATCTTGCAGCACCTGGAACAAAATTATGAAAACTTCTTAAGCATTGCCAAATACCTTGAGAGAATGAGTTGCTGGGCTTGGGGCTCAGGACCATGGTCTTGGGGTACACCATGGTCAGTTGGTGTAATGTAGTCCACGTTGGCGATGTTCTACATCCTACTTTGGTAAATAGCACCTGGGATCATAAGTAGTCACCTTAAGTTGCAGCTGTTGGTTGGAGGGAGGGCGGGGAGCAGTGCTGAAAATCAAAACTGTTTGGAATCAATTAGTGTGATGGACTGATGGAACAAGGAAACGTCAGTCACCATGACCCTGAGACCAGAGGAATTAGATGGTGCCTGGTTACCACTACCAACTGCTCTGAAAGATATGACATTAGGATGCTCTAGATAGAATGGGAGAACATATGAAACAAAACTCAAACATAGAAAAAAGACCACACTTAGGTCAGAAAGAAACTGTAGGGAAACCAAAGACTGGCCCTTGCTCATCATTCAGGGCTTGAAACTGAACTCAACCCTTGAAGCTCAGTTTCTATCAAACACTAGATAAGTATGTAGGGGGCAACAGCACTCGTGACATGCATGCTGTGGAACAGTCAACCATTTGAGATGTGGAGTCAGTCCCAGCTCATAGCGATCTCTGTATAGGTTTTCTAAGGCTGTCAATCTTTAGGAGAGCAGAAAACTTCAAACTGCTAACCTTGAGGTTAACAGCCCAACTGTAACCACTATGCTACCAGAGCTCCTTAAAGGGATAGCATTTGTTTGCCTAAGGATAAAATTCAGAAGAGTTGGGAATGGAAACAAGAATTAGGAGAGGAAGTGAGATATAAGTGGTGGTGGTATATTGTGGGTGGTTGCAGTCATTGAAATGAGAATCAGTGTGATTTGTTGAGTATAAAACTGGTAATCTGCCATATAAACCTTCACTGTTGCTGAACAAAAAAACAACTGGGTTAGACTTTTTCAATTGTTTAAAAATAACAGTGGGTACCCTCGAGTTGGTTATGATATATTTGTTAAGTGCCTTCGAGTTGGTTCCTACCCGTAGCAACCTTGCATAGGGTCATGTTACGTGCCATCAAGTCGGTTCCAACTCATAGCGACCCTGTATAGGGTTTCCAAGGAGCAGCTGGTGAGTTTGAACTGCAGACCTTGTGGTTTGCAGTCCAGTACTGATCCTACAGCGCTATGCCAGGAGCAGGCACTTTTCCTTTCTGGTTGCCAATGGATTTGCTCTAATATTTTTTTACATGCTAAGAAGAAAGTCTGTTGCTTTCTTGACACCCGTACTTGTCATTAAGGCATGAGTTATATTCTCTGGTTTGTGTAGTGTACCAGTAGCGATCAAAAACCCTAAGCAAGTTGCTTGGCAGCTTTATGGCTAAATACTATCTTTGATTAGGACATTGGAGATATTATATCACTTTTTTATTAATTGTGGTCATCTTAAAAGTAGTAATTGATAGGAGAAATGAGAGAAGAGTGTCTCACTGAAGAAAAATGAATAAAAGCTCTTAAATAATTAGGGTAATAATGGGGGCTTGCTGTCAGTGATTTTGCTCATTCTTTTATATTTATAGCTATATTTTGAATTCTATACCAATTTGTATAGGAGTCCAAAGTTAGTTTGTACCACAAGGTCAGCAGTTCAAATTCATCAGCTGCTCCGTGGAAACTACACAGGGTTGCTATGAGTCTGAACTGACTAGACGGCACTTAACATACACTCTGCACCCTAACCTGGAGTCCTGCGGCACAGTATGTTAAGCGCTGGGTTCCTAAATGTAAGGTCAGCCATTCAAAGTCACCTGCTGTTTTTTGGAAAGCCTATAATGGTGGTGGTGGTATGCATTGGAATCAGTTCCAACTCATAGCAACCCTGTACAGGAGGGTTTCCGCAGCTGTAAGTCTTTATGGGAGCAGAAAGCCTCGTCTTTCTCCCACGAAACAGTTGGTAGTTTTGAACTGCTGACTTTGAGGGTTAGCCCAGTTCGTAACCCTATACAGGGTCTCTCTCCAACTCCATGGCACTTAAAAACAACAATAAGTGCCATCGAGTTGGTTCTAACCCAGTAGCAACCCTGTATAGGATTTCTGAGGAGCAGCGGCTGAGCATGAACCGCCGACCTTGCAGTGCAAACAGCTTTGCAGTTCAACACATTAACCCACATTGCCACACCAGTACTCCATTAGGCTAATTCTGTATATACATTATCTCACATGATTCGTACAACTCTGTGAAGAGGTACTATTTTAATCCGTATTTTGAGAGGTAAGGTTCAAGATTGAGTCATTTGCATAAGACTTTTCAGTAAAGGGCAGATCTGGAATTCAGGATGTCTAAATCTAAAGTCTAGAATCTTAAAATATCCTGCTGAATTTAATCTCTTCCTTTCTTGTTCATTTTAAAATCTTTTTTTTTTTCCAATGCATCAGAATTTAAGAAAAATTGTTAAGTGCTGTGGAGTTAGTTCTGATTCACGGTAACCTGGTGTAGAGTTTCCAAGGAGTAGCTGGTGGGTTTGAATTACTAACCTCATGGTTATCAGTCCAGTGCTTACCCTACAGCTTTACACCATGAATGTTGTTAAGTGCTGTCAAGTTGGTTCTGACTCATAGTGACCTTGTGTAGGGTTTCCGAGGAGCAGCTACTGTGTTTGAACCACTGACCTTGCTGCTCAAACCGACGTTTAGGTTCATTGCTTATCCTACAGCACTGCACCAAGACTGCAACACCAAGAATAGGGAAGCATTTATTTGTCATTCATCATTCCCAAGTGTGGTACTTTTCCTTACTTACTCTGAGGCTTTGTTATTACAGTCCATCAAGTTGGAAGTCCCTTTAGTGTCAGTGGTTTGAAGTAACCACTTCATATACTATCTCATGAAATTGTTAGCAGTCTGGTGAATTTGTTTTTAAAAAGTTGCTAATCACAATAATTAAAGCAAATACTATCAACCTAACATTTCCCAGTCCAACTTCATAAAAATAAAAATCTTAGGATACTAATATGTAACATTGCTCATATATAGAAGTTTACACAATGGTATGATTTTTGGGTTCTTCCCTCTGTCTTAGGTGTTTGTAAAATGTATGAAGAACATCTGAAGAGAATGAATCCCAACAGTCCCTCAATCACATATGATATCAGTCAGTTGTTTGATTTTATTGATGATCTGGCAGACCTCAGCTGTCTTGTGTAAGTATTTACCACCATCTATTATAAATTGTATTTTTCTATTGTTTATGTGTTTACTTGAGGTGGGTTTTAGTATTGGTTGCTCACTATGTGCCTGGCAATGATCTTTGCACTTTGAGTCTTTTATTGTTGTTGTTGTTGTTGTTGTTGTTGTTGTTAGGTGCCATCAAGTCGGTACTGACTCATAGCAACTTATGGCACAGTAGAACAAAACACTGCCTGATCCTGAGACAACCTCACCACTGTTGAGTCGTATATTGTTGTTGTTGTTAAGTGCCATCGAGTCGGTTCCGACCCATAGCGACCTTGAACAGGGTTTCCGAGGCTGTAAATCTTTATGGGAGCAGAAAGCCTCATCTTTCTCCCGTATAGTAGCTAATAGTTTCAAACTTCTGTCCTTGCAGTTCGCAGCCCAATTCCTAACCACTACGCTACCAGAGCTCCATGAGTCTTCTGTAGTAGCTTGCATTTCCTCTCTCTATAACTCAACTTGCAACATAGTCATCAAACAGAAGGCAGAGGAAAACCAAAAGAGCTTGGCTATTTGGTGCAATTAGTATGCAGAAAGAATGCTAATTAACAACTTTAGTCATTTCTGAAAGCTTTCAGCTTTGGATGAAAACTAACATTATTGTCTTTTCATACCACTGCTTTTAAAACATGTATGTAAAACAAACTTGTATGTAGAAGTGAAGTGTAGTATTTATAACTTGCTTATCACCATTGTCACCAAAAAGCATGAAATGATGATGTGGTGGTGGTGTGCCATGGGGTCGGTTCTAACTCATAGCGACCTTGTATAGGGTTTCTGAGGCTCTGAATTTTTATGGGAGCAGAAAGCCTCAGCTTTTTCCCACGGAACAGCTGGTAGTTTCAAACTGCTGACCTTTAGGTTAGTAGCCCCGTTCATAACTACTATGCTGCTAAAGTCCTTCTTAACATTTTTGCATGAGAGACTAAGTGGTGGTTGTGTGCCACCGAGTCAGTTCCAACTCACAGCAACCCTGTCTGTCTAGGGTTTCCGAGGCTGTGATTCTGTATGAGCACAGAAAGCCTCATCTTTCTCCCAAGGAGTAGCTGGTAGATTTTTGAACTGCTGACCTTGTGGTTATCAGTCCAGTGTTATTCCTCTACGCTATGTGGAAGTATCTAATTTTACAAAACAAAATAGAAATACCTTATAATGTGGTGATCTTCAGTCTGCTGGTTTTGAATACTTACTGCATGCCAAGCTCTGTGCAAGAAGCTGAAGGAGCACTAGTGAAAAACACACAGGTCCTACTACAGACAGTTCGTGGACAAGACTTCAAAGACAGAAACAAAGGCAGAGTTCATATTGCATAGCAGCTAAATTTCCTGCGATGTCAGATTGTGGTCTGAGTAGGAAACGGGCAGCAATGGCCCACTCAGATGGTGACTATCTGACACACATTCAAAGCAACATGATCAGCTGCCATCTCAGAGCTGGGCACTACTGCCTGTTTCCTACTTGGTTGCAAATCCTACGTGGAAAGATTTTGTTGCTGTGCTTTTAAATTACTGATAATTTTCCTTCCTCCTTGGGTTTAACCATTGCTGGTGGCCATTAAGTAGATTGTGGCTCATGGCAACCCTTTAAGGTTGTAACCTTGATCCAAAATCACCAATCCTGATTTCCAAGCTGCTTTGGATGGGTTCAAACAGTCAGCCTTTTGGTTATTAGTTACTTGACTTAACCGTGGACTCCTGGGTTAATCGTTGTTAAGTGCCGTCGAGTTAGTTCCAACCCATAGCGACCCTGCATAGGGTTTCCTAGGAGCAGCTAATAAGCTTGAACCACCTACCTTGCAGTTCAAACCGACTGCATTCCAGTGCATTAACCCACAGCACCACACTAGGACTCCAGGTTGATCATTAGAGAGCTATATTCTTAATTGATAGAAGTCTGAAGGCAAGTGAAAGGATCTAATACGGCTTATTTCATGCTCAGTTTTGCAACAACTACATTCTCAGAATCTTGACGTTAACTGTCTAATGAAACGTAACTATTAAAGTGCCATCGAGTCAGTTCTAACTCAGTGTAGGGTTTCCACGGAGCAGCTGGTTGGTTTGAACTGCCAGCCTTGCAGTTTCAGTACTTATCCAGGACTAAAATATATTTTGTTGTATGTAGAAATTACCACACCTGAACTTAAAAATGGAGTAGATGTTTCAGTTAGCACATAGTTTTAACATAAGATTTTAACCGAGGTAAGCATGACAAAAAAAGGCCTAGAGATACTGTGCCTAAGCATTCCTCTGCTAACTGATAGGTCAAACATCTCTGTGGGGGAAAGATGTGGCAGTTGGCTTGCATCAGAGATTACAGACTTGGAAAATTCTATGAGGTGGTTCTGTTTTATCCTATTAGGGTACTGTGAGTAAGAATCAACTTGTTGACACAAATTTCGTGGGGGGGTTGTGTGTGTGTGTGTGTTTTGTTTTTAATATGTGACAGTATCCTCACTTCATTCTTTGAGTGAATTCTGGATTTTAAGTTTTTTAGTTAGTGGCTTTGTGATTTTATTAAAGTCACTGAGATATATATATGGTCTCTAATCGTGATGCTTTGGGATGTAGTACTCATTCCCAGTAGGTGGGAAGTTGCTTAAAGCCAAGAATCATGCTTTAACTCTTTTAGGAGGCAATGATTAAGAGCTATCTGTAGTTGGAATTAGACATAGTCTGATTCCTGGCTCTTCACTAACTCCCTTGGGCAAATTTGCTACATCTCAGCTTCCTCATTTGTTAAATTTGATAAGCTTTACCTCACAGGACTACTTGTGAGGATCAAGTGCTTGTGTAACACAGCTGCTGCTACTGTTGTATGCCCTCAAGTCAGTTCTAGCTCATACAAAACCCTTTATAGGGTGTTTGAAACTGTAAATCTTTGCTGTTAGGTGCAATCAAGTTGATACTGACTAATAGCAACCCTATGCTCAACAGAAGAAAACACTGCTCAGTCCTGCGCCTCACAGTCGTTGCTACAAAGCCCATTGCTGCTGCCACTGTGCCAGTCCATCTTAGTAGGGATCTTCCTGGTTTTCTCCAACCCTCCACTTAACCAAACATGATGTCCTTCTCTAATGACAAAAGTCTGGCCATCCTGCCTTCCATGGAGCACTCTGGCTGTACTTCTTCCAACACAGATGTGTTTATTCTTTTGGCAGCCCATGGTACTTTCAATATTCTCTTCCAACACCATAACTCAAATGCATCAATTCTTCTACGGTCTTCCTTATTCACTGTCCGACTTTTATATGGTTTGGGTTGGGCATACCTTAGTCATCAAACTGACATCTTTGCTGTTAAATACTTTAAAGAGGTCTTGTGCAGCAGATTTGCCTAATGCAATAAGTCTTTTGATTTCCTGACTGTTGCTTCCATGAGTGTTGATGGTTGATCTGAACAAAAGGAAGTCCTTGACAGTTTAAATCATTTCTCCATTTGTATGAATGTTCTTTATTGTCCAGAGGTGAGAATTTTTGTATTCTTTACCTTGAGATGTAACCCATAGTGAAGGCTGTGGTCCTTGATCTTTAAGTCCTCTTCCCTTTCAGCAAGCAAGGTTGCATCATCTGCATATCACAGGTAGTTAATGAGTCTTCCTCCAATCCTGATGCCATGTTTTTCTTCATATAATCCAGCTTCTCATATTATTTGCTCAGCATACAGGTTGAATAAGTATGGTGAAAAAATACAACCCTGGCGTACACTTTTTCTAATTTTAAACCATTTGGTATTCCCTGCTTCTTGGTCCATATGCAGATTCCTTGAGCACAATTAAGTGTTTCAGAATACTCATACTTTGCAGTGTTGTCCATAGCTTGTCATGATCCACTCAGTTGAAAGCCTTGTATAGTCAATAAAGCACAGGTAAACATCTTTCTGGCATTCTCTGCTTTCAGCCAAGATCCAACTGACATCAGCAATGATAATCCCTCATTCCCTGTCCTCTCCTGAATCCAACTTGAACCTCTGGAAATGTATGGTTGAGGCAATTTTTGCGTTATCTTTAATGAAATTTTACTCACTTGGGATATCAATGATATAATTGTCTGATGATTTCCACATTCTATTGGGTTATTTCTTTTGGAATGGGCACAAATACAGATCTCTTCCAGTCCGTTGGTGAGGTAACTGTCTTCCAATTTTCTTGGCATAGATAAGTGAGTGCCTCCAGTGCTGTATCACTTGGTTGAAAGATTTCATTGTGATTTCTGTCAATACATGGAGCCTTGGATTCATTCAGTGCACCTTAGACTTCATCCTTCAGGATCGTTGGCTCTTAATCATTTGCTTGATCTCTTCAAGAGGTATCTTGAAGTGTTTGAGCATTGACCGTTTCTTTTTGATGCAGTGACTGTGTGTTCCTTCCATTTTCTTTTAATGCTTTCTGCATCTTTCATTATTTTGCACATAGAATCGATCAGTACTGCAAGTCCGAGGTTTGAATTTTTTCCTCAGTTCCCTCAGCTTGAAAAATGCTGAGCATGTTTCTTCCCTTTTGGTTTCTGACTCCAGGTCTTTGCACATTTCATTATAAACTTGGTTTTGTCTCCTTGAGCCAACCTTTGAAGTTTTCTGGTCAGCTCTTGTACCTCCTCATTTCTTTCATTTGCTATGGCATCTCTACGCTGCTGAGTAAGTTTCAGAGCCTTCTGACATCCATTTTGATCTTTTCCTTCTTTCTTGTGCTTTCTTCCTGTATGATATTGTTGATGTCATCCCACAACTCTCTGGTCTTTGATCCTTAGTGTCCAATGCAATACGTGTGTTCTTCACATGAACCCTAAATTCAGGTGGGATATATTCAAGGTCATATTTTGGCTCTCGTGGACTTAATTTAATTTCTTCAGCTTCAGCCTGAACTTGCATGTGAGCAGTATTGATGATCTGTTGTGCAGTATTCTCCTGGCCTTGTTTTGACTGGTATGGAACTTTTCCACTATCTCTTTCCACAGGTATAGTCAGTTTGATTT